ACATTTATATTATTTTTATTCTTGTCTGGATGCAGGCACTACCCTAACCTTCAAAGAAATCCTTATTTCATTCCCTACTTGACTGAAACCCCGCAAATACCTACCTAACTTACTGAAAGCCCAGGTGAACTTTAATTATTCAATCACAACAATAACTTGTCTTTCATGTTAATATCCAGCAATATCTGTAAGACTACATGTATCTAAACCCTCTTAATCAGTACACTCCAAAACTACAGAATCAAAGAAAGAAAGAAAAACCCCAGAAACCCAGTTAGGCTCCATTTTAACTTTGGCAACATAGCAACTTTGGACACTTTCACTATGTAACAATTTAATGAGTGTTTCGCTTTCACATGACAATGTCTGTCAAAAACGTGTGCTTCTGTTGTCATCATCTGTGTGTATTCTGGTAGTATTCACCTTCTTCCCACAAGCCAGTCCTGCCCTGCAGTGGTTGCCAGCTAAGAAAATCTCCTGCGCTTTTTTAACGTGCCTGACTCAACCTGGAAAACAGCACGAGATGAAGGTGGGAAAAGAAGTTAAAACAGGGCTGTGGCACTAAGAAGGACGAAGAGGGAAGCTGAAAAACATCCTGTAGGAGACGCCAGGTGAGACATTAGGGAATCCACCACCTTCCCTTTAATAAGTCAGGAATGCAAAGGAGCACCGTCACAGTGCAGCAATTATGGAGCATGAGCCAATGCACCAGGAATGCAAAGCTCCCTGCTGGCTCCAAATATAGAAATTTGGCAGAAGAACAAGCCAGTCAAAAAAGAAGATAGAAGAAACAAAGTAAATTGGCTAGGTGTGATCTGGGATATTGAGTTGAAACCTCAAGTGATGTAAAATTAGCCTTGCTCCATTAACGGTAACAGAAAAATACCGATAAACTAAGCAAGGAGCTGTAAAGCAGGAGGGAGCTACAGCGGGGAGCTGTTAAGCATGAAAACTAGAGCATAGTGAAGGACATGTGATAGGCTACGACAGCAAAGCCAAGGAAGAGAGTCCTCCCTTGAAGAAATAGATCCACCTTGAAGAAGTAGCTACATGGTTCTGTGATGGCCATTTCCTCCAGTCTCTCCAAGACACAGCCATTTCCTCTAGCCTCGCCAAGGCATGGCCACGTCCTCCAACCTTGACAAGGCATGGTCATTTCCTCCAGCCTCATCAAGGCACGGTAATTTCCTCCAGTCTCATCACGGCATGGCCATTTCCTCCAGCCTCACCAAGACATGGCCATTTCCTCCAGCCTCACCAAAGCATGGACATTTCTTCCAGTCTCACCAAGGAATGGCTATTTCCTCCAGCCTCATGTAGTTAAGGACATGGGTTAGTGGTGGACTTGGCAGTGCTAGGTTAATGGTCGGACTCAATGATCTTAAGGGTCTTTTCCAACCTTAACGATTCTATGATTCCTTCAGCCTCACCAAGGCATGGACATTTTCTCCAGTCTCAACAAGGAATGGCCATTTCCTCCAGCCTCATGAAGGCGTGGCCACGTCCTCCAAATTCGCACTGCATGGACATTTCCTCCAAGCTGTGCAAACCACTGGAGTGCAGCACTCGCACATGCAACCACCTCCTGCAACAGCCTTGCAGAACCAGATACTGGTAGCTGGGAAACTGCCTTCAGATGCACTCTCTCTCCAGGAAAATAGTTTAAACTGGCAGCCTGTGAACTAGACCCAGCCCAATGCCTTTGTGTCATAGGACCCTACTGTCTGAATGCTCCTTATCGCACCAAGGCGCTGGCATGAAGTTAAATCTGCCTTGCCAATGCTCCCTGCAGCCCAGCCACAGCCTCCTGTTCCCACTGCTGTAAAAGCCAGAGTGTCTTATTCCAGCTGCTCACATGTACGTGTGCTTCTGGACATTGAGAACACACACTGAAACGGTAGCTGGGCTGCACGTTGTGTTCTTCACAGGAGAGTGCATCTGTTCAGGCGATGCTGCAGGGCAGTAAGGTGCGTGCAGGGAGCGGAGGGCGGAGGATAAAGGCAATACAACAGAATAAGCAGAGATCGCACTTCTATTGTATCAGACTTGTAATTAGAAAGCAGCATACAGGCTGTAGATAATAAAACTTAACATATTATTAGCCCAGCAAGCAGTAAATTTGCAGTCTTGCTATTTCAATGATTTAACAGCACTGAAGGCAAAATACTAACCCCATCATGCATTAGAATGAAATGCTCCTCACTTTGACTCCTTCTTGCTTCATTTTAAGAGTGTTTTATTATTTAATGAACTCTTGCTGTTCTGCAATTAGTAGCCCCACACACCTCTTTGTTCTGGTTGCTACCAGCCTCAGCAGAGGTTAGTCTCTGTAGAAAATCTGACTACATCATCATAATAGCCCTGGTGACTTTTAAAATACTTAAGATGAGCTGTGGAGTTGCAACACAACTTTCTCTCTCCCCAGCGCCCATATCCATTAGCTACACCATCCATTAGCTGGGCTTCCAGTGCAAGAGAAACCTGGGCACTGAGGTATGAACTCAAAGCTTGATTGCA